GTCCTGAGCTGCTACGATTAAGCTTTCTGTTTCCCCTTTAATGCCTCCAAATTTCAACCATCGATAGGTCTGTTCCTTATCCACCAGAGTGTCATCTAAGCAGCGTGGGTATTGTCCGTGCATTCTCTTCTTTTCCCATTTTTCTTTTGTGTTCTGAGCTATTACCTTTTTTTGTAAAAAATTCGTGTGCTTGCAGGCTGTGTTAGGCGATTAATTTTATTATTATTATTGAATGCTGCTCTATTTGAAACTCAAATTCTCACATTTTGGCTTTGTCTGTGTATGTTTGCTTCTGTATCTTTATTCATGCTAACTGGGTAACTAATATAGACTATCATTTTTGTATTTTGTTTTTTTAATATTTTTGTGCATTTCTCTATTCGTGCTAGTTTTGTAATTGGCCTCTGTGCTGTTAAGTTTGCATGTAAATAAACACGAATTGAATTGAATTACTATTATTATTATATTACGACGTTTTGAAATAAAAATAGCAGAACAATTCAAGACAGTGCCGAAGAAATTGAAAGGGAACACTCAGAAAAGATCATCCTCGAACTTCTACCATCGCAAGCTAATTATAGCAATCCTGCAGGGAAACGTGGCCTGGGACGATAAAGGAAGACACTGAAGGAAGAGTTCAACCATCCTCTGGACATTCATTCATCAATTCATCCATCAGTAATCTGTCAGACGACAGGTCCACAGTCTCTTCCAAAACAGTTCCTCCACTTAATGCGATCTAGAGGTTTCTCCTTCAAATGAGAATATCCTCTTCTGTCCCCAAGGTCATCCAGCATCTTCTTACGTCTTCTTCCTCGTCTTCTGGTCACTTCTATCCGCCCCTCTATCTTTCCTTCAGTAACTTCTTTTAGAAGGCAGTTACTGCGTAAGATATGACCAATCCAATTAGCCTTCCGTTTTATTATTTCGTGTAGGATATTCCTCTGCTCACTGACTCTAAATAACACGTCTTCATTTCTCACACAATCGGTCCAAACGATCTTCTTCATCCTTCTCCAACAACACATTTCGAAACTTTCCAGGTGTTTCTGATCTACTGCCATAAGTGTCCAAGTTTCAGCCCCATACAAAGCAATGCTCCAAATGTAGCATTTCACTAGTTTCTTTCTCAAATTTAAGTCCAATTTGCTGGTAAAAAGATTCTTCTTCTTGCTAAATGCAGCTTTTGCCATGGCAAT